AGGCAGGCAGGCAGGCAGGTTGATGGGTGGGTAGATATATAGGTACATAGATGAGTGGGTGTGCAGGGGGTGCAGAGGTAGGTAAGCCGGTAGGTGGTTTGATAGGTATATCATAGGAAGGGAAGTAGGTAGATAGGTAGGCAGGTAGATAGATAGGTAGATAGGTAGGCAGGTAGGTACAGCTGGTAAGTTAGTAAGCAAACCCCAAACATAGAAATACCAAAAAAAACCAACCCAGAAATGCATCAACAATTAAACAATACACACATGTGGATTTTGCAAACAGATCGTCCCTCCCACTAGTTCCAAAATGGGCACGTCTTCTTGCATAAGTTGAAAATATATACCTGGTACTATCTTCTGTTCATTTCATCCCAAGAAAGCAAATCTATTGGTCTCCCCATGTGATTACTCCTAATTCCAGGACTCTTATTTTCTCAGCTGGGTCAAGATTCAAGTACAAGACCCTGCAGTGGACAGAAATGATCAAAATCCTCTCACTCCACTCTAATCGAAAAATACTGATGACTGACATTAAAGACGCTGGATTACAGGGAACGGGTGGGCGTGGAATAGCAGCGAGACAGGAAGGGTGATTAACAGAGTACAAGAACTATTTTGGAAAGGATTAAGGCTGAGAGCGTAGAAAATAAATCCCGACCGCCAGAACACGTGTAACATTATTTGGCCCATCAAGTCTTCTAGAACCACGACGTAATAGTACGCTATACGACTTACGAGCGATAGCGGGTTATTGTTGCAACCTTTATTATACTTTATAACTGAAAGTCAGTAGTATAGGTGGAAATTTGAGAACACAGAACAGCCAAAGGAGGGAGATAGGGAAATTATTTGAGAATGCAATGCAAACCGACTCTTACCTCCGTCCTGAAATAGAAAATCACCTTAGTGGACCTACAATTTAAAATGATTTGACTTGACCTAAAATTACAACGACATTTCAAAGGCACAAAGGAAAAATTACCACTAATTTGCTGTAACTTGTATATTTCGCTCTTTACGTTTCTGTATAAGTTTCACGCTATCTCGACGAAATATCCTCTTCCTAAATATATTGTAATATAATTTATTTTTTTTAGCTTTCCATAATCTTCAAGCAATTATCCAAATTCCTCTGGAAACCCCAAAATAAGTGCGAAAGGCATAATGATTAACTTACCTGCCATTCCACAACGACTCCATCGCCATGTTGTTTACAGGTAACAACGGTAAGCAAATATCAATACGATTGGATGAATATGACGGAAATGGGAATAGCAGCTTTACACCGGAAGCCGATGAAACCGGAACAACAACAACACTCAACACACGCAAGCATGGCCGATGAACCGATGGAAGCTACTTCTGTGCCCAAAAAGAAGGGCAAAAAGAAGCAGAAGAAGAAATCAGAACCTGAATCTTCTGTGTTTATCCCGGGACGAGGTCAAATTGAAGAGGATGAAGAGCTTATCGTTGACGAGTCTGCGTATGTTATGTTACATCAAGCAACCACAGGTAGGCCTTATTGACTTTTATATGGTTCTATTTCTACTTTCTCTTTCTTTCGACCGTTCGTGAACTTCAGGAAGATCTAGATATTAGATCTGGATCTAGATCTAGAATCTAGATCTAGATCTAGTGTAGCCTACACTTTGCTCTAGATTTCTAGATCTAGATCTAGACTATCCGGCTCGGGAAGTATCAAACGAAAAATGATTTTTGTAAGATTTAAATTGTGCACTGTTAGAGACTTATTGATCAATCCATAATCTTCCAACTTCGAACACAACATGTAGATCTACCCCTCAACCAACATCTCAACCGAATTGGAGTAAAGCAGTCTGCTGCCTGCCCACTATATGTGACTACCCCTCAAAGACAGTGGAACATCATCTGTTCTTCTGTAGAAAACTAACTGATTTAAGGGGATGTTTTCTTCCCAAGCCACCCCACACATCTAATTGCCTCTATCTAATCTAGATCTAGATCTACTCCTCACGACAACGATTAGATCTAGAACAAACATGCAACTATTACCGAATGGCATCATGCAGAAGAGTTAACGCTCAGATGCTACTGGATGGCTAACAACAACAATAACAACAGAGACCTATTGAAATCAAAGTTCAGAAGTTGGGGCCTCCTAAACTAATAAAGTAATAGTCTAGTAGTACAATACCATCATAGAAAATAGGCCTGTGTTGAGGGTGATGCGATGAGTCACATTATTATTCATTATAAATTAGATCTAGAATCTATATGACCACCACAATGTAACTGCACTGTAGCTCTAACTCTTCTGTTCTAGATTCTAGATCTAGAGGTAGATCTAGATCTAAGTAGATAAACTGACACTGAACTTATGCTATTCCTATTTTCAGGATACTTCAGTAGTAACAAGCAACCACTATGAGTCAGAGTGGAAGGACTTCCGTAACGAGCGACCACCCCATCAAATACAATAAAGAAGAGGCCTCCTAACCCTAACCCTATCCCTACCCCTACCCCTACCCCTACCCCTAGCCCTCAATTCTGCCCTGTCTCACAGTGGTCGCTCGTTACGGGCCTACAAACAGAGTAGAATAGAGGGTTAGCTCTCCTCTTTATTGTGTTTGTTGAACACCAGCAAAGGCCAAGGGTAAGGGTGGTCGCTCGTTACGAAAGTCCTTCCCTATTTTCCCACTCTGGCACTTTCTCTGTATTCTTTGAGCTAGACACATCACAATATAGAATTTCACTGTTCTGTTGTGTAGCCTACACTTTGCTCTTCCATACTTTATTTTTATAGATCCAGCCCAAGATCTTAGATGTGTATGGTTTCGTTTGTGAATTCATGATGACTGGCATTCCAATTCATGTCTTCTTGAGAATCGACATTATGCACCAGCTGGTAAACGGTAGCATGAACAAGTTTTTAGATGAGAGAATTTGAAGTGCAAAGTTAAGAAAGCAAGGACTGGTTCAGGTGTTCTTACAACAGGTCTTTGCTGGTGTTGACAATGGGAGTGTGAATGACTTTCGGACTCGGTCTACCAGCAGCGATGAGGACGAGGGGGAAGAAAATGCACCCTTTGACCAGTTCTTTACCCCAGCTGTGGCGAAGGATTACACCCAGACTTGGAGTGACAATGCCTCTAGCTAGCTGCAAGTGGTGGCCAGCTGGTTCCCAATTATTGAAAGCTAGGAGTCATAGTCCGAACCCAAAATTACTTTAATTTCTTTTGATGTGATTTCTTCCGGTGGCTGGTTGGCTCCGAACATCTTCAGGATTTTAGAACCCTGATTTCAGATCACTGCGAGGCACCACCTTTTTTTATTTTTAAAAAATAAATTCTTTTTAAAAATAATTTTAATGATTAAAGTAACTGGTAACCGTTGGTTTACGTAGGAGTCAGAACTTTTCTTTTCCTGTAGCATTAGGTCATTAGGACTCTGCCTAACCCTATAACACCCACTTTCCATGGAAGGCATGGACTAATGAAAAGGATCAAGAGCCTCATGTCATGCCTTCGCTTTGACTTTCCCAAAGCTCCTCATTGGTCTAAATTCGTAGATATTTGCTTCTTCTAAAAAGATAGTGCAAAGAAATTTGATTAAGTAATCGGGGTGTGAAATAATTATTTGTGTTTGAAGATTAGGTGAGACTTATCAATAGCAGTGGACAAATTCATGGTTGTTTTTTTCTTTGTGTAAAGTTTTGGCTTTTTTCGCCCAATGTATTTTGGTGACTCAAACTTTGTTTCTGGTTTCAGGTGACCCGTGCTTGAGCTTTGAGGTTCTCCAAGATGGTCTGGGCAGACGAGAAAGTTTCCCATGTTCCTCATACCTACTGGGGGGCACGCAGTCAGAAGCCGGACATTTCAATTATATCTTGCTCATGAAGATGTACAACATGCATAAAACTCAAGTGAAGGAGAAAAACCCGGATAAAGAGAGTGACGAGGAAGACAGTGAGGAGGAGGAGGAGGAAGATGAGGGGATGAGCGATGAGGAAAGTGAAAACAAAGCGCCTCAACTCCGCCAGACCTACATCAAACACAACGGTTGTGTAAATAGAATAAAGGTAACTTTAAAGAGGTGCTGCTTTGTTTTGGGGTTTGTTCTGGGTTTCGTGGGTTTTGTGGTTGTTTTAGAAAAACAAATTTATTGTAGTACATTTTAAAAAAAAATTAAATTAGTTTCTTCTTTCAGTTCTGAAGCTTGACAATGTGGAATGCAAAAAAAAAGATTGTGCTTTTTATCTTGTAACCTTTTTTTTTCCAGGCTACTTTTACTTAAGATTCAAAAGTTGTCCTATGTACAGGAATCCATTTCCACTTTGTAAAATTGCTACTGGGAACTGTGGTTTTGTTTTGTTTTTTGAATTTAGTTTTTCTTTTTTTTTTTCCAATTGTTCAATTGACTCTTTTATTTTGAGAGGGGGAGTTCTTTAAGATTAATATCTCTTGAGGTTCATCCTCTATACTGAATGAAGTAATGCCCAATGTACAACTTTTTGAAAAATGACTTTCATTTCTTTTTGTTCGTGTTTTTTTTTTTACCCTATTTTTTCATGATTTCTGCTTTCTGCAGTCTACGACGGTGAACGATCACGTCCTGTCTGCCTCCTGGTCAGAACACGGTGTTGTGTTTGTCTTCGACGTGACGGCCCATGTCAACGTACTAGACGGCGCAGAAGACTTGAAAGAATTCGAATCCTCACACAGTCAGGTAGCTCCGTTGTTTTCCTTCTCCGGACACCAGATTGAGGGCTACGCACTGTCGTGGTCGAAACTAGATCCCGGTGAGTTCTCAATAATCTAAATAACTGCTGGATGTTAGTCTGGTTCTTACGGAGAAGTTTCTGGCTTTACGTGAAAGAAAATACCTGTGATTGTGATGATGTACTGTGGGGTCTGCTTCATCAGAGCATCATTATTACAGATTAATCGATAAACTGTCGTAAATAAAAAGGAAATAGAATTCCCAATTCTTTTTTGTGCTCTTTGGTGATTTCAGTTTAAGTGGACCTCTGTATTATATAGTATTTATATTCTATACATAGCACAAATACCCACCCAACAGGAAGTTCTATACATTTTAATGATCTATATTATTATGCTAGCAGTCGTGATTGCATTCTGAAACAATCTCAACTTCCGGGGAAGCATTCAGTCATATCTTCGTTACGTGCAGCACTCTGTCTTTCTGCATCAGTTATTTGTAATGCATGGATAGTGGAGATTTCTGCAATTTACTACGCTCTACAAACAAAAACAGTTATAGATTGTTAAATCTGAAATCTTTATACAGTTTGTTAAAATTATATTGCGACATAAGTCTGATCCAATGGGAGCCTTTTGATGTCTGTAATACACAACTTTAATCTTTAAGCTCTGACTGTCCCCATCAGTTTGGCCTAAATACCTATAGATTAGTCGACCTTTGACATACTTTGCTGTTTTTCAGGTCGCTTACTCTCAGGAGATTGCAACAAGAACATATTCCTGTGGAAGCCGACCAACAGCTCGTGGGAGATCGACCAGAGGCCTTTTGTGGGCCACACAGCGTCTGTGGAGGACATCAAGTGGTCTCCGAAGGAAAACAATGTAAGTGGTTTCATTAGTGACGGAAATGATGTTGCTGTCGTTAGTGGCAGAATTGATGTAGCTTAACATTTTTAAAAAATCAAAATTGGATTTTAAAAAAAAATTTATATACCTGCGTTATTAATCTTCGTATGACTCAAAGAAAAATATTCGCATAATTCTAAAGTGAACTGTGTACAACTATATTTAATGTTTACTACAGGACAGTTTCAAATGAAATGAACTTAAATTCTTTGTGTTCCCTGATGGATTGTTCTTAGGAATATAACCCTGAAACTTGGATCAGCATTTAAAAATTTTTTTTTTAAATGCAGCCCCCACTGTCACCCATCACCATGTGTGTGTTCATCTTTTGGTGGCCCACACCTGGCCACAACAGACTCTGCTCTGATGTATCATTCCATGAAGTTGTAGACCACTGTTGGGTGTTACGTTTCCAATGTTTCATTATAAAAATGTATATATATGATATTGGAGGTCTTCCCTTATTTCTCTTTGCTTCTGTTTTGCCCCGAAGCACAATATCCTGAATGTGTCATCAGGTCAGTTTTCATGTATCTGTTTGTATGACCAAGGTGTATATGAGTCTGCACTGGTAGCCTACCTATCTGCAGTTATCGATAAATTTGGTTCACATTGCTTTCAACGAACGCTACGATTCTCAAAGGCAAAGATCAGTCTCCTGATGACTTCATTATTGTTTCCGAGTTTCTCTGAATAAATGTCTTATCGAGTGAAGACTCCAGTGGGGAAAGAACCCCCCCCCCCAAGTAAGTCCTATTTTAAGAAAGTGAAGAAAATGGAAATTGAATTCAAAGTTTGAAAGTCCGTATCTCAAAATGAGTGCAGCATTTCTTTTACCTTAACTCACTTCAGACGGGTCACACAACAGTTGCGTGACCCCCGCCATGACGCTCGCGTCGGGTCTCACAAGCCCTGCGTGACCAACTTTGGAATTTTTTTTTAGCTCTACAAATCACGCACGGATCGCGAGACCCGCCTCGTACCCTTGTTTGGCCAAGCCTGAGCTACTTAGACTTCGTTTCGTATCTCTGGGGCTGGTAGTTTTTAAGTTATTGAAGGTGAAGGACAGTGACCCAGACTGGGGTTGAACAGACCGGAACTCGCGCTTTGTTTTTTTCTATACAGCTCATAGTAATCCGACAGTCGCGTCGTAGTAACGGTCGAAGAAGTCGCATGAACAAGAATCACATAATTTCGCCGTTTTCTATACTTCTGTGCGTTTTACTAGTTCTAGTGTCTCAGAATATGATGTGTCTAATAGTTAGGATCCTGGATATGTACCTGAACACGGCCCGAGTCGTAGTTCTAGGGCTAGATCTAGCGCTAGTACCGGTGTTGTTTTTCGCGCAACGAAATCACAACGTCGTGCCGTACATCTGTCTCATGTAATTCAGTGTATGGGTCTGAATCAATGCACAGACCAGCTTTTATATTTTCACCAAACACTTGCACATGTATACAAATCAAACCAGAACACTTTGAACTTTTATTTTTGTTGTTGCAGTGAATTTCATTCTACTTGTCACGTCTCTGGAAATTTTTCGAAAATCAAATTCATGCCAATTTTTAAAAAATCATACAGATTAAAGTATTAGACTTAGACAACTTTAGTTTTTTGTATTAGATTAAGCTTGAATGTTACTTTACTATGTCAAAAAATGATTACAATAGGGTAATTCTGAGAGTTGTGGTGATTTATTGAAATACCCCCCAAAACGCCAGTCTTCAACGCTTGTGGCTGGTGAAAGGGCCCAGTCGCAAGTGAGTTAAGTAGCAGCACAGGGCTTGACTGGGTTATCCACGGGATTTGTTTGCGGAGAATAAAGTTTGATTTTTTAAAGAATGCAGCAAGGGGGGAAACTCTATTGTTTTTTTACTTTTATGTCTGTGTTTCTCAACTGGAGCCTTCAAATGTGAGGCATCGTGGTAAAATCAGGCGCTTGTCAAAATAACGAAATAGGAGAAACAGGCATTTTTTCATCAAACTTTGTTTTTTGGCTCGAACTCTTTTATGTCCATACAAAAACATTTCCATGGTAATTTTACTTGGCAGAAAATATGTCATTTTTCAGTTTTCAAGGACTCTTTGGCTGTTAGAGTTGCCATACTTTGGTGGCCATTTTCTCGCTAATTTCATCACTGAAACCAGGCGACCTCGCCTCCTTCAATCGTAAATATTTTTACTTCTATTCAAGATAAATGCATATTGTTTTCTTTGAAAGCAAGGCAAACGAAAAAGCTTTCGGATGATATCAATAGAAATTCACGTGCCCAAAAAACTGACGAGCACCTGATTCCACGACGCTGTGACACAAATATTATCGAATGTTTGATGTAAGTTTTGGAAATTGTTTTTGCTCCTCAGGTGTTTATGACGTGCTCTGTGGACAAGTCGCTGCGGGTGTGGGACGCCCGGGCCAGTCCTGACACGGCCTGCAAGCTGGTGGCCTCGGAGGCTCACATGAGAGACATCAACGTGATTGACTGGTCCGAGAACGAACCGCTGATCATCTCAGGGGGGGACGACGGCCTCATTAAAATCTGGGATTTGAGAAAGTTCACGGTGAGTTTTGATCGGTATGGATTTTTGGTTTCCCACAGTGACTACTGTGGTCTCAGCTTTTACCATGTTGTCACGGAATTTTTATTTCTCTCTATAATTTGCTTACCTAAGAAGCCGGTCTGAGCTCAGGGTTGGAAACTTTTGCTAGCTTCTTCATGGTTGTTGGGGGTTTTTTGGTGGGGGGGGGGGGGGGGCAGGGCAGGTTGGGGATTGATGTGGAATACCAAGCACTGAAATGTATACACTATTTATGCACTTTTTTACTCAGTGCATTTTATTCTGGGGATTTCACCAAATTTTTTTGCTACTTGCAAGCTCTACTGATTTCATACAGTGGCAGGTCTGGTAAGCCGTACACAGTTCGTACAGGTCTTGGAAAACTGAAAAACTTGGAATTTCGGGAAATTGGCAGTCTTGGACAAAACAATTGTTTAACTAGATCTATTGTAAATATATTTCCTCCAAGTTTAGAAGGCCTGGACTTTACTCATTCTGAGGTGTACCATAATGTATTTTTTGCATGTTGAATGAAAAATTTTCTTTCCGAAATGACGTGTTATTTGTCCGGGGGGGAAAAGAAATCTGGTCCTGAAAATTCTTGGAAAAATCTCGGGGGGGGGGGGGGGAGAATCTCCTGCTCAGTATGAACCCTGCATACAATAACTAATTTTTTCTCCTCCCCCTGGTACTTGACAGAGCGGCGTGGAGGTGGCGGTTTTCGAGCACCACAAGGGCCCCATCACCTCGGTAGAGTGGAACCCGCTGGACAGCTCTGTGTTTGTGGCCTCTGGATCAGACGACCAGGTCAGCATCTGGGATGTGGCCGTGGAGCGGGACGAGGGCGCGGCCAGCGTCGGGGAGGAGCCGGACGTCCCGCCGCAGCTGTTGTTTATGCACCTGGGCCAGAAGGACATCAAGGAGGTCCACTGGCACCCTCAGGTCCCCGGCCTCGTTTTCTCCACGGCTCAGAGCGGTTTTAACGTGTTCAAAACGATAAGTGTTTGAGCCGGCGGACTAGGGTTGGGAATTATTATGTGAATAAATTGCTTTGCAGATAAATTATAACACTTTTTGTTTTGTTTTGTTGTTTTTTAAAACTTTTTTTAAAGCTTTTTAAAATTATTTTTTTATATTTTTGGGCATTGCAGCATATGAGTATATTACAAGTGTTTGTTGTCTTTTCTTTGTTCGTAGCTTTTTGTATCATACCAGAAACTCGTTCTTGAAGAAAGCCTGATGCTCTCGCTGTTTATATGTTGCTTTTTTTTTTCTCCTTAAACTCAAAGGACCCCAGACTCGTCGTATCCAATAACGAAGGGGTGCCAGGATCAAGCCTCAAATTCCAACTTTAATCTTTACCGTGATGAGCACATGTTCATTTAAGGGATTTAAACAAAGCGGTAGTGTCTTTACCTTTTTTAGAGTAGACTACTCGTTACCTCAGAATTACAAAGTACTATCTGATATTTTTTGCTGGGGTTTTTTTTTTTTTTGGTACTAAGAAGACCATGAGGTTGGGAACAAAACGTTCTATCTGCTCCATACTATCAAGATTGTGAGATTACTCAAAGTCATTATACTGTTCCCGTCGTTTTATGCAAGAAAAATTCTGAAATTATGCAAACTGAGCCCAAAAATGTGAAATTATGCGATTCTGTTAATTTTAACAAAGAATGATAAAGGAAAATAATCAGAAATTATGCAAAAAATGATCAAATTTTGCTAAATTATGCGGGGTGCATAAAACTACAGGGACAGATTATCGAAGTATTCAAAGAATTCCATTCTCAAATACTTGAAGTGTTGTCAAACTCAGAATTTTTTACGCCAAATTTCTCAAAACTAAGTACTGAGCAGACAGTACTTCGTAATTCTAGGGTAGCGATCTGTCCAGGCTGTAATATCTCCTATAGCTGGTTCACTTTCGTCTGACCACGTTAAAAAAATTTTAACTCATTGAGGAATTTACCGATGCCCACGAGACTTTGCATGGCACTTCTGTAGGCCAGCGACCAAACTAAAATATGTTTTCAAAAAATCTTGACACAGCAATAAAAAAAGTTTTTCTCTTTGGGCCCTATATTAAAAACTGCTCTCTGTGTGCATACACATGATCACAAGAATAAATTACTTACAGTAGCCTTGCCTACAAATTGCTCATTTTGAGACAGTAACACCGCCCTGCCCCCACATTTCAGTGTAAGCTTGTAGATTTCATCCCTCAGCTGTTTAGACGTCTCCGCACGCTCCACATGAATCTAAAAAATTACTCACCCCGTCTTTTGAATTGTATTTCTTAGGTGAATGTTAGTTATAGAGTGGTGTTTAGGAAAATATGTCAAGTTTTAAATGTTTTAGGTGTATGCTGTAAATTCTCTATTATTTTTTGGACCCGCTTTAGGCTCACGTATCAAAGAAAATGTGTCGGAACCTTAATTTGCAGTGACTTTTATGAATGAGCTTTTAGATTCTGTTGGTCGTTTAACTTTTAGACGCGCATGCAAGAACCCAGAAAGTTTAAGCAGAGCGATTTGTTTTTAGCACGTTTTAACCGCAGCCAGACGAAAGTGAACGAGCTATAATAGGTCCTATTTCCTCTAAAGGCCAGTAGAAAAAAAAATCTTATTTAACATGTATATATATATATATATTTACACAGCAGTGAAGAGGTTATTAAGGTTAAGCCGGCACCTTTGTACCTTTTTTTGGGGCTGTTTTAGAAAGAGTTTTGCTGCACTTGCAACACAATTAGGTCATATTCATATAAGTTATAAGTGGCCGAAGATAAAGAGGTGTTACAAGAGAGTACCAAACACAAAGGAGCAGAGATAAGGACGATAGTTGTGTGATAGGTAAGAAAGAGTGAGCAAACCACACCAGAGCACCTGCCAACCACCCACTCTTTTTGTAGATGTTTGACATCTCCATTGACACTATTTAGACCATTTAGAAGGCAGGCTGCTTATCCCCGGGCTTAGAAGGAAACAATGCCTCGGCAGAAAGACGGACAAAATTCCTCTCCACTCAGGGAAGCAAACCACACCAGAGCACCCGCCAACCACCCACAAGGAGCTTCTATTGTATTTTAAGGACATGTTTAACAATATGTATAAAATTACAAACAAGACAAACACAATTTATTTGCAAAACTGATATTTTTATTAACATTACCAATTTAATATTTCTCACACTTACAGCTACAACTATTTCACATTCTCATTCTCGCACAACCAATTCACAAATTCAGCTATATTATATGAAATATATGACACCTCATGTATAATCAAAGACAACCACCTGTAAAAGACAATCACCAGTACAAATAAATGACCACTTCCACAGTATGTTTTTCTTTTATATATATAAATATTATATATTATTTTATTATGACACTGTTGAAGACGTCCACCTGTCAACAGGGTCCCCACCCCACCAGGTCGGGAATTTCGTGATGGGTCGGGAAGTCGAGGAAAAGTCCCATAAACGAAATGCCAAAAAATTTCATGTTGCGTTGGGAAAAATAAAGCCGGCCGCTTCTTGACTACATTTTTGTCAGGTAGGTAGTCATGTTTCGATCGGGAAGGGAAGTGTTGCTAACTTATTGCCGAAGGGGCATAACCCCAGCCAGTCAATTCTTAGCTTAGGCCTTAATTATTGTCCATTTTGATGGAGGAGATTGCAGAGGGACCATTGTCATAGATGTTTGATGGAGGAGATTGCAGAGGGACCATTGTCATAGATGTTTGATGGAGGAGATTGCAGAGGGACCATTGTCATAGATGTTTGATGGAGGAGATTGCAGAGGGACCATTGTCATAGATGTTTGATGGAGGAGATTGCAGAGGGACCATTGTCATAGATGTTTGATGGAGGAGATTGCAGAGGGACCATTGTCATAGATGTTTGATGGGTCATTAAATAAATCACTTGCTGAGAAGCAGTTGGATGTTCATTTAAGATACTGGAATGGCGGTGTCGTTCAGTCAATATTATTTTCTTTGCATTGATAGCAAAATGCTCGGGCATTCCACCTCGGATGATGTCCTAAAAGCTGTCCCCGTTTTATACAAGAACAATTTTGAAATTATGCAAACTGAGCCCAAAAATGTGAAATTATGCGATTTTGTTAATTTTAACAAAGAATGATAAAAGAAAATAATCAGAAATTATGCAAAAAATGATCAAATTTGGCAAACTTATGCGGGGTGCATAAAACCATGGGGACAGTAAAAGCCATCAATTCATTTCATGTTAGGAGTCGATTGATTTCCGTCATCTTGTACTTGTACACCTTTCTGTGGATGGTCCCAATGTCAACTGGGCAACTTTTAACAAACTTCAAGCGCAACTTAGAACAGATTACAGCAATCAGCTATTTAATATCCGCTCATGTGGCCTTCACCAATTACATAATGCTCTCCGTAAAGGAATGGACGCCACTGGACAAGACCTTCCACATGTCCTCACTTCAGCATTATTATCTGTTCGAAGATGCCTGCCAGAAGGGAAGACTTGAATCACCTCTGTGACTGGTTCATCCACCTTCCCATCAAAATACTGTGGTCACAGATGCGTGGAGAACCAGAGTGTGATGATCAAACTAAAAGAATGCCTGCCTATTCTGAAAATCTACATTAAGTTAGGCTGTTAAAGACAAAAAGGTCCGAGAGCCATCTAGCAAGTCGTACAATGCTGTGAAATCATTTATTGAGGACCCTTTTGTTTGTTTTAGTAAGAGTAAGACTTTTACCGGCCTCGCAACAATTGAGGACCCCTATAGCAGAAATGAAGTTAGCATTCGCCATTGCCTTGTGCAAGCCAGCGAAGGAGTTTTTGACTCTGTACCAAACAGATAGGCCAACGGTGCCATTTTTATAGAATGATCTAAATGACTTACTGCTTAACATAAGGAAGACAGTTGCCAAAATTGACAATGTGAAGGATGTGACTGAAGTAGACCTGGAAGAAAAGAAACTGCATGAATTGTCAAAGGTCAACATAGGCACTAAGGCTGTAGAGCTTTTGAAGAAGAGTGCGGCGGCCGCCACTCCGAGGATCCCGCTAGATTTTCGATCGAGTTGTAAGGATGCCATCCTTGCCACAATTAAGACAGAAGCTATTTCAGAAGTCCCCCCTTTCTTTCTCCCTTTGCAAGCACTTGCAATTCCTCGACCCAGCAATGATGATCAACAAACCCAAAACATCAACACATTTGAAATCGGCCTTACTTCTAGGTCTACACTATCCACTCAGGGACATTGATGATTTAGTTGATGAGTATGACAAGTTCACAAATAGTGTGAAATCCAAGCAGTCTTTCCTAAACTTTAAATCTGTCCAGGACAGGGTGGATGAACTTTTATTCAGTGAAGTTGTCAGCCATCCAGACTATGCCAAGTTGTGGGGATTTATGAAGAAGTGTCCTGTCATATCCCATGGACAGGCAGCAGTTGAGCGTGAAAAAATGGAAATGGTAAGGGTTTAACGCCCCTATCAACAATATTAGATTATTTAACTCTTTAAACCCTGATTTTTTTTTCTACAGTCACCTAAACCAGGTGCACTATGTCTCATTATAACCCCAAAACCTTGCCTCCAGCTTCTAAATGGCAGAAACAAAGGCTTAGGTCATTACTAATGAACTTGGTTCGGGAATTGTTCTGAAAAACAAGCAAAAACTAGGACAAAATAAAAAGAAAAAGTTGTCACTAGTACTGGATGCTCTCAGCGTGCGATGGGGAACGGGGTTATTACCGCCGGACGCTCCAAGAGTTCGATGGGGTTTAAAGAGTTAGGGGGCGTGACCTCCTAGTTTAACGTCCGTCCCCAATAGGACCAAGTCAAATGGGAAGTTCGTATAAAGTAAAGTGCCTTTCCCAAGGACACAACGTCGGACGAGCTAAGGCTCGAACCCCCGAACCCGCAATCTCATGATTACGAGTCCGGTAGCCTAACCACTAGGCTGCCGACGCCACGCAGATGGGCGTGGATTCTCGGAAAATAATATGGCACTGGACACAAACATGGAAGAAAAGACATTGATTGCCAGGGGTACCATCAAAGATTATGTGAGGCAGGCACATAGGCGGCATAGAAAAATTTGAAATCAATGACAATTCGTTACAATCATGTGGCTCAGCCAGTAGAAGGTACAAGGAGGAGAAGAAAAGTAGAGGAGAGAAAGTTAGTTTCGTAAGAGTTTTACGGCACTTGCAACACAATAAGGTCATATAAGTGCCGAAGATTAGAGGTGTTACAAGAGAGTAACAAACACAAAAAAGAAGGAGGGGAGATAAGGACGATAGATGTTTGATAGGAAAGAAGAAGCAAACCACACCAGAGCACCCGCCAACCACCCACGAGGAGAGAAAAGTGGAAAAAGAAAACGCACAGAAGAGAAAGTTGTTGGGCTGAAGAAAAGGAAAGTTGAGTTGACAAAGAATGCTGCCTTACTTTTTGAGGAAGAAAATTGAAAAGCAATCAGACAAGGGTCATGAAGTGACAGGAACGAAGAAAGAACAGTGTGGCTTTATTCACAAGTGTGTAAATGCATTGATAAAAGCAGCCAAAGAGAAAGAAGAGGAGTTGGCCTTAGTTTCTAAGGAACTTCAGGAGAAGGAATGCAGAGGTCCTCTTCACACACATTTTGGTTGAATACAACCTCAACCTTGCTGCTGCAGATCATGCAGGGCCATGTTCCTCGCCAGCACACACAAGGCAGAAGACATGGTCAAACGGTATGGACGTGGGAGGACAAGGACAACGGCTGTAGTGAAGAAACTTGCAGAGCTGAATGAAGGCCGGGGTTTGATTAAGGCAATGCAAACAGGACCTTTCGTCATCGCAACAGATGCAAGCGACGACAAAACTGACAAGTCGTTTCCTGTTGTTGTTGTCAGACTGGAACGCAACGGTGAAGTTGTGAATGAATTGCTGTCTGTTTTAGAATTGAAGGACAAGGGAACAGGGGAGAACATCACCAACCTGATCAAGGACGACCTTGAGAAAAATAAGATACCCCTCAAGAACTGGGTGGCTCTAACCACAACAACAAAAATGGTGAAACGGTATAGGTTTAACGCCCCTATCAACACTATTAGGTTATTTAAGGGATGGGACATCCTAGTTTAACGTCCGTCTCCGATAGGACCGAGCCAAGATGGAAGTTGGTGTAAAGTGCCTTTCCCAATGATACAACGTCGGACCGAGCTGAGGCTCGAACCCCCGGACTCGTAATTTCACGATTACGAGTCCGGTAGCCTAATCACTAGGCTACCGACGCCACTCTCTAACTCTAACCACAGACAATGCCAAAGTGATGATAGGTGCAAGTAGTGGTGTGCATGGACGACTTCTTAAGGAAATTCCTGGTCTGTTTCCTACTGGATGTGTCTGTCACCGCATTCACTTGGCAGCTGAATGGGGTTCAAAAAGTATCCCCAGGAACATTGGCCACTTCTTCGAGGAAATGCACTTTTATATGGATTATATGGAGAAGAGCTCAAATCGCTTTGATGCCTTCTAAGACTTTCAAGAGGACTGTGGAACACTGATAACAGCAGTGCCCAAGAAGCACTGTTCAACCCGTCGGCTGTCACTTGCCACCTCATGTGACTGGGAGTCAGAGCAGTGGGATCCCCTCCACAAGATTTTTCAAATCCGAGTGTGCTGCTGACAAGACAACAGCTAGTGATGTTGATGCAGGGGCCTCTCTTTCTTGTAGCAAGTCCAAAGTGCTCGAAAACTTGCTCTCAAAAATGGCCAAGCTCTACTGTTTTTACCTGAGCTATGTTCTTCCAGTTTTCAACTGTGTGAACTTGATGTTCCAGTCAGAACAGCCCCAGATTCACAAACAAAGGAGAGTGATGTCGAAACTAATTAAGGATCTTCAAACGATGTTTGTGAAGCCCAATCTGGTTTGATGCACCCCGCATAATTTAGCAAAATTTTATCATTTTCGGCATAATTTCTGATTATTTTCCTTTTTCATTCTGTTAAAATTAACAGGATCGCATTATAATTTCACATTTTTTGGCTCAGTTTGCATAATTTCAGAATTTTTCTTGCATAAAACGACAGGGACTGATGACAGCTGCTTGATTGCCATATCACTTGGCCCACGCACTGTCCCTCTTTGTCTCACAAACTGTCCTTTTTTTGGGTTGGCAGGTCTGCCCTAAACCACAGCCCGTACCCAAGAGAGAATCAATCAATCCCTTAGAACATTTCAGCACATTATCCAGGGATGGAAACTAAATCAGCCAACAATTTACTGAACTTTTCCCGGGCTATACAGATTGGGAAAAAATACACTTATTCAATTGTAGGTTACTACACATAATAGAATGACTCGCCATTGAAAGTAGGTAGACAGGCATCAAGGAAGGGAGGATGATCACACTTACGGAAAATAACGGAGCAAATCAAAATTACGGATTTCTGTAAATTTACGGAAAATTTCCATCCCCGATTATCACACCACACAGCAACAATTACACACATCAATATCGCACCAGCAAACACTTTCACGTCTGATTAAAATATGTCATAAATATCACAGACAGACTCCTAGCCCACTATCGTCCTCATAATATCTGAACTCTCAGAATCCATCATGATCTTCTCAACAAGGTACTCGTCAACTGCTTATCCACAATCCTCGGAGACAAAAACACCGGGTTTTTGTTTTTGTTTTTGTAAAGTGTTTTACGGCGTTTGCAACTTCATGAGGTCATATGAGCGCACGGGACACACCTAATATTTTTCAGTTGGTAGGAAATTTTGAATTTTTCCCGGGTGGCGGCCGAAGCCTACTCTTATCGATTTTAGACCACCAAGGGATCTTTAACGTGCGCAACTTGCACACGGGCCCTCCGAGATTTTTCGCCCTTGTCCGAGAAGGCTAGGTGTAGATCTTTCCTACCAGAAGATCAGGGGTGTGGCAGAAAGACAGCAGTAAGGAGGAGCCAAGGAGTAGCAGTAGAAAGGCTGCAGAAGGAGTCAGGAGCCCAGAGGAGGGGGCAAAGGAGGTGAGGGGGTGGGGGAAAAACACAGCAGGAACACTAAAATCCTTTCATACGTCACCATTTAGCACTCGTCGACTTTTCACTCCATCAAAGAATGAAATGATGGCCGTTTTATCGTCACAGCACGTGTCGACGTGTCACCCCATTCGAGAACATGATCACTGTTCTGTCTTCCTTCCATCAGAGAACACAGTGGCTAAGTGAGTAGTGAGTTCAGACTCAAAACTACTGTCAGTCAGGCAAGAGTCGGTGACACGGAGTTTAGGTTGATGGTCACTGGGGTGTGTAACTGAGCAAGACACGACAACCCTAGCCCAAAAAATAGGGCGCTGCACGGTGGCGACCAGCAATGGAATGTTTTCTGAGGAAATTTTTCTGTACTGGTGTGACTGTATATTTATGTATGTATGTATGTATGTATGTATGTATGTATGTATGTTTGCCATTGAAAACCCCAATTTCCTTACAGAGATCAATAAAATGTAATGTATCTATTCCTCGTCATAGCACCCACTGACTTTCCCCCCTCTCCGTCGGAAAACTCGATCACCATTTAATCGTCAAGGCGCTCGTCGACTTCTCGATCTCATGGTACTGCGTGTGCAGCAGCCGCTTGGCCATGTCTGAGTCTCGGCCCCCGAGCCACTGCGCGTAGAGCTCCTCCACCTGCCGCTGCTGGAAGGGGTCGACGACCGGCACGCCCTTGTAGATCTCCTCCACGCTCTGCAGTCGCTCCTTCTGGCTCTCCCCCTCCCCGCCCGACCGGATCTGACCGCCCCCGTTGCTGCACCCGGATGGGCAGGCCATGATCTCCACAAAGTGGTACGTGCACTTGTTCCGCTTGATTCGCTGCACGATGTTCTGGATGTTGCGGAAGCCGTACGCTATGGCGAACTTGAGAGGGGGTTTCCCTTCTGCCTCCACCGTCACTTCCTGGAAGTCTTGGTTCCTTTCAAAAAAATAAAAGGAAAATTCTGTTTGTTTGTATCTTTTAGTAAGGTTTTACGGCACTTGCAACTGCACAAGGTCATATGAGCGCCAAGGGGTGGATGTCAACAGAGAAGTTCAAACGGGGAATCAGGTTTACTCTGCTCACCTCTCTAGCCTCAACAGCACAAAGTCTGCTTCGACTATCAAGGCAACCCGGAAATAGCAGTAGACAAGAGAGTGACAAACCTACAAAAGAAGTAGAGGAAAAATGATGATAGCAAGGATGAGGAAAGAAAAAGCAGCAGTTCCCCCTATGTTGTTCCGGCACAGTATGAACATGACATAGATAAATCAGCCCAAATACAATTGTACTGTGCCTAGGAACATGTTAATATCCCCCCTTTGGGAATGGCCTGAAGACTACTTAAGTCAGTACCACTGCCCTGCTACAATCTATCACCATGCTAAAAGGACGGACAGACATTTATACAAATCTTTGTAAATATGGTAAAGACTTATTTACTCGCACACACACACACACACACACGTAGAAACGGAGCGGTTCCTCACCTGAGCACCTTATACTGCAGGTCGTCCACCTTGTGCCCATGCAGCACCGAGGCCGCGTGGATGGCTATGTGCTCCAGGTAACCCCCAGAGCCCCCGCCTCTATGGCTGTACGTAGGCTCGGGAGTACCGTGTAAGAACCTGTAAAACACACACAAGTGAACGAACTAAGATCAGTTAATATCTTTTATTTATTGCCCAGACACTGGCACGTTGGTTTGGTTTTTCACCACACACACACACATATACACTCAGGCACATGCAAGCACACACACACACACACACACACACACACACACACACACACACACACACACTCTCTCTCTCTCTCTCTCTCTCTCTCTCTATCTCTCTCACATACACCCACAAACACACACTCATGAGCATGCAAGCACACACCCATACTCCCATACTCTCTCTTACACACACACACACACACATTTATACATACATAATAAAACCAGACAGACCCACAGTTACATGCATATGATATAAATGAACATTACTGTTTTTGTTTTAGTACGAGTTTTACAGCACTTGCAACACAATAAGGTCATATAAGCGCTGAAGATTAGAGGTGTTATGAAAGAGTAACAAAGACCAATAAAAAAAACAGGAGGAGAGATATAAGGATGATAGATGTTTGATAGGAAAGAAGGGGTAAACCACATCAGAGCACCCACCAATCACCCCCAGAGAAAAAACTAGGATAACATTTTATTTTGTTTGAGTAAAGAGAAGCGTAACGACATGATAACGGTCATTTAGTGCAGGGATAAAGTCAGAGACAGACAGAAACAACAGAGGGAAAGAAAAGACGTAGTAAAACAAATCTTTATTGCTCCGACACTGGCATATTGGTTTGGTGTTACAAACACACACACACACACACAACACACACACAGAGAAAGAGAGAGCATCCAAATCAAAATCATAACTAGAGCACTTGTGAACTATCAATTAAAAAACTAGGTAGGAAATAACGAAGCAAAACAAAAACAAAACTGTATTTTAAGATGATGCCCTCTTATGTATTCGAATACGAACAACTGCTTTATCTGGAAACCCCCGGAAATTGTTTTTCGAGCAATTGTGGTAAGATGCTGATGGCAATTGTGGAATTGTTTTTTGAGTGATTGACGAGCTACCCCACACATCTAATTGCCTCTACTCCTCAAGACAACAATTAGAACAGACAACGCTCAGATGCTACTGGATCGCTAACAACGGTGATTGTGGAAAGATGCTGATGATATAAAACTCACACAGAGTCCAGATCCATCTCTTCCGCATCTGTTAAAGAAGACCCTTCCTTCTCAAGCATCTTTTCCACTTCACCTTGACATAACACAAACATAGAAACACAAGATTATTAACATCATACTCATCATCATCATCATCATGAAACACAAGACTATTATTAAAATCATCATCATCATTATGAAAACAAGATTATTAACATTCTACTCATCATCATCATCATCATAATAATTGCATTTATATAGCGCATATCCATGCTCAAGAGCTTGCTCTATGCGCTTCACAACTATTATTACCCCAGCAGACCCTCTGAGAACACTCAGAAACATTCTCAGCTTCCGCGGAAGCATACAGTGCAAGCTGCGGATTTCACGCACTCAAACACTATCAAACTGACAAGATCTTTCACTGTCTATAGCTGGGGACCCATTTCCACCTGGGTGACGTGAGGAAAATTTGTGCAAAGTGCCTTTCCCAAGGACACAACGTCGGGCCCCTGACGGGATTCGAACCCACGACCTTACAATTGTGAGTCCGAGAGCCAAACCACTAGGCCACCGACGCAACACAAGACTATTAAAATCATCATCATGAAACACAAGACTATTAAAATCATCATCATCATGAAACAAGACAATTAATTAAAATCATCATCATCATCATCATCAAGAAAACAAGATTATTAACATCCTACTCATCATCATGAAACACGGCCCAACTTCACTGCCACCAGTCTACAATTCAAGCGTACTGACTTAAGTGTTCACTTTACAAGGCAATGGTCAAAAGAATGCAACTAATATAAGTAATATTATAATAGGCCTAATTAATAGGGAGTACAATTTTTTTTAAGGAAGTGTCTACGTACTCCCCGATTGGGGTCTACGTAGTCATGGTGTCTAGGTGGACCCCAAAAATGTTGGATTGTGATTGGCTCGCTGAGCGAGCGGTAGTTTACATTGGTTTCAATGCAAGGCTGCTGATCATCTCGGGCGGTGTGTCGATCTAGTGTTACTACAATTTATTTATTTTAGCCCAGAGAGAGAGTATTTAACCCTTTCGCACTTAGCAGGCTTGGCCAGCTGTGGCCCCCCATCCTTAAGACAAGGGCAACAACTCCACGAAAATTGAAGGGGTACCTTACTAAAAAAATGGTATAAAATCACAAACACAACCAAACATGATGAAAATAGTATTTTCTCAAAGGAAAATGAATGAGCTAAATTACTAGTACAAAATTATAAGTGGAATAGAAGAGTATGAAATGATATGAGAGGTCTTTCTGAGATGCGTGTCTTGGATTCTGAGTCTAGATCTAGATCTAGACCTCATATACTACATTTCTTCAACTCACGAAGTTTCTGCCACTGACAAACAGGTAATCCACACAAAAGAAATACAACACATTCACTGAGATTGAAGCCTCTGGTGGAAACTTGAAAGCACCTAAAAGACTTTTCTTTGGGTGTTTTTATTTTGTTTTTGCCGTACTCATATCGGGCAGCTTTGCGCCCATGCATCCTAGAGACATGATGGCGTGTTTACAACAAAAATCTCCTCCGACTTTTGTTCCCGCTCAAAAAGTGACTCTTTGTGTTAGCGAAACAAGAAAAACACCATAGTAAACCGGAACTCTTCCTCTATAAAGATAGCTAAGTTAAACTTCTGATGATAGTAAAAGTAGAAGCCTCCCGCGGCAACGAAACAAACACCCCCGTGGCGGGCGCATTCGGGCGCTATAGGGATGAGCGGGGGTCACCGGCGCAGGCGGATACGGGCGCTGTAAGTGCGAAACGGTTAATGTATAAACGTATCTAGATCTAGATTCTAAATCTAGACCGAACTGCACACTCTTAGCTGGGTGCACAACAAAATCTAGATCTAGATCTAGATACGTTTATTCATTAAATACTCTCTCTCTCTCTCTCTCTCTCTAGGCTAAAATTAATTAATTATAGTAAGACAAGATAAATCCAATCACTACCCGAGATGATCAGTAAGTAGGCCTAGCAACCTTGCATTATACCAATGTAAACTACCGCTCGCTCAGCGAGCCAATCACAATCCAACATTTTTGGGGTCCACCTAGACACCATGACTACGTAGACCCCAATCGGGGAGTACGTAGACACTTCCTTTTTTTAATTTGATATATGTTTTGAGTTTACTTCATACTGAATACAATTGGGTCTGAAAAACTGCAAAGAAATGGACACAGCAACGATAACCGTTGTTTGAGTTTGAGTAAAGAGAAGCACATCGATACTGTACAATAATGGCCATTTAGTGCCGGGAAAAAGTAAAACAGATAGACAAAAACAACAGAGGGGAAAGTAAAGCGGTAAGACCTGCCAGTGGCGCCCTCCAACCACCCACAACGATGACTATAAAAAGTTTTTCCTTCAGTCAGTGGAAAATAAACAGCCCCAACTGAATACGTTGACTTTTAGCTTAGATTGTACACCCAAGACTTTTTTAAAACTTCAAAATATTTCTATTCAATAAGTTATAAATACTTTATAGCCTACCACAAATAGAAAACTGTTACCCTATAACTTCCATCGTAGGAGTCAAAACACTTTCAGAAACACTGATTTACTTACTTTAATTACTTAACATATTAAGTTATTTATTTCTCAATCAGCCTGCAATTTCCGTACAAAATGTTGGGGTTTTTTAAGCCATAAGAAAGCAAACAAATGCCTTACTCTTTAAAAAATAATACAGCATATAATTAGATCTAACTGAACATGAAAACTTTTTCACTTTCTCAACCGTCCTGTAACAAGCAATAGGCCTACAGAAAAATTCTGACACAGTAAGTCGCACAATAATTCCTTTAAAAAAAAAACAACAGAAAACGACGTTAACACACTTCTCACCAGAGGTAATAACACAGTCTACGTCCCTCGTCTGGTACACCTCGCTGAAAAAGTCAGCCCTCGAGGCCTCCAGCTTTTTGTCAAAGCAGGGCATCACAGTCACGTGGTAGACGGAATCCGCCGTTTTCCCAAGCCGCTGTGCCAGGTAATCCTTCACGATGGAGCCCATGACTTGCTGCGGAGACTTGGAGGTGCTGATGTATGGCAGGATGTACGATCCGTGGGTTTTCTCAGCGTAGCAAATCCAGCCTGGGTTGGGTGGGGTTTTTTTTGGAGGAAAACATAACCAATATATCTATTATCTATTTGTGGTAGCCGAATTTTGCTATTCAAAAGGCTTTTTAATGGCTGCATCGATCGACATGCAGTTTTCGCCAAAAGATTCTTTAAAATACTCTCCAGATCATGACGCCCTTGGTTTTTTCAGTTTTGATACCATTTTGCTGCAAAAAGCTAAATTTCTTTATTTCGCCGATCGCTTTTGTAAGTCGAAGCTTCTGTCTCTGTAATTTTAGAAAACCCAGCGCGGAAGTGATATTTCGCGAGGCGCATTTTGTTTTGAGAGTATAGATCTAGATAGGCCTGCCTATAGACCTTCTAATTTGTTGCATCTCTCAAGATTTATTGCTCCATTTCAGTAAAGTGTAAATATAGTAGGCCAATGACTTTCAGTTGATATTAATTCACCGATCATTCCTTTCATCGAAAGGGGGCCCAGCTAGTATATATATATATATCACAGTGTGAGAGAAATCACAAACTTCACGATAGAACTGTTTAATACAAAATCTAGGAATCTTAAACTTTGGAGACCAATTGAGCTGATCAGTCCAAAATTTTGTGAACTTTTCGTGGGCTATATATACAGATTTGGAAAAATACACTTATTCAATTGCAGATTAGTACACATGGTAGAATGACTCACCATTGAAAGGACACTTATGGAAGCTGATGAAGCAAATCAAAATTACAGATTTCCGCACATTTACAGAAAATTTCCATCCCTGATACAGTTAATGGAGCTAATTATGGACAACACAAGATGAACAAAGTAGCAAGTGTATGAAAAATAAAATATGTCAATTCTAGACTCAGCAAGCAAGTTATGTAGCCTAAATATAAACGTCATTTGTATAACAATAAATGGAAAGATCACTGCAAAAAAAATTATCTTTGTCACCAGCATTTCACAAAAGCAGACTAGCAAAATCAAAATTAAAATAGACCACTAAAAATGAATTCCAAACATAGAACTTGGTGGGCGGTTGGCGGGTGCTCTGGTGTGGTCTGCTCCTTCTTTGTTATCAAATATCTATCGTCCTTATCTCCCCTCCCTCTTTTTTTGTGTATGTTACTCTCTTGTAACACCTCTAATCTTCATCACTTGTATGACCTTATTGTGTTGCAAGTTCCGTAAAACTCTTACTAAAACTAAAACATGAACTTGAATACAACAAGGACTACAACAGGCTTCCTAAAAAGCTTGTGCCAGAATTGAAAAATATGTACTAGAGGAATGCTCGAAGAGGAAGCACTTTCAGAAGAACTTTACCAAACTGCCACAGAATTACCTGGACATGCAGAGGCAAGCATTGGCAGGGATTTTTTATCTGTCTCCAAGGCTTGATATCGTCTGATGAACTCATGACAGCTCTCGATGAGACTGAAGTTGCGTGCGAATGTGGTGTCAAACACATAGTGCACCCCTGAGAGAACAAAGATCGTTGAATGATATCATGTGGTTGTTTATTTCTGCTACCATAATACAGGGATGCTACAGAGATTTTGCGAAAATACCTGAAAATTTGCAGATAAAAAGACAGTTATTAAAAATTAATACGTGGTTAAACAGAAAACACATATATAGGTGTACTTAGAATATATAAACTGTTCCTCAAGTGAAAATAACAGAGATGATTGGGGGGGGGGGGGGGGGGGGGGGACGGACCTCATGAGGTCAAGTAACAATGATTTCTTTTAACCAGACACAAAGGTTTTTAGAAAAGAACTTGACAGCATCTATGGCACAAACTTGTGACATAATAGTGAATGTTGATTTTGTAGACTGTGGGTGTTGGTCACCTTTCAACGCAGTTAAACTTGAAGGCAAACAAAGGCGTAATTACCTCTTTCTCATATAATCTGAGAGAAAATCGGGCTTCAACCAAGCCTGAATGCGCTTCACAATCAGACCAAAAAAAAAATAAGTGAACACCTAAAACTGCCTAAGAAATAACCCAAATAAACCTGTATTTCAACCGTAGGACGTTACATCAAAGTCACTTGAAAGACATTATCGTAGCAAAGTATTTTTCAGCGACTGCTCGAGAAATACTATTCTACAGGGGAAACCGGTTCTTGACAACACTTTCTGCATTGTCTCAACACCAGCAAACAACTGAATATTATTATGAAAGTCTGATGACAAACCTAGCCGTTTGAAAAAAGCTGTTAGTTTTTTTCCTGCTGTTTCGGAAGACAACTTGAACTTTGCCGCAAGGGAAGCCCTGGCTTGCGGGGACACCGACACAACGACCACTTTCTCTTGGCTCGGGTCTCCAGTCTGAAACAAACCAGTTGGAAATTAAAGAAAGTTACAATTGAGGTTTTTTTCAAACTTCAGTGATATGATTCATGGATTGATTGAGTAACACTGTCGAAAGGAAGTAGAACTTGTAAACAAACCTGACCTCAATCTCTGAGCGCCAATATCGATCGAAACTCCGCGAAATTCTTGCAAAAATCGTTGTTTTGTTGTCGCTACGTAGGCTAGATATAAGGGTAAACAACACGGAGCCTGGTATAATAAAAAGGCCCTTCAAAGAAAGATATTCAACTAAATTTACGAAATTCTTGCATAAATGTGTGCAAGGGTGATATCGCTACAATGTTGTGTTGATTCCTATGGATTATAAGGACTTGTAGAGCTGATAAAATGCGGTAAGTCGAAATTTTCGAAGAGCTGTTGCGCAATTTTTTTTTCTCATTTGTTTTTGTCTGAAGGAAAATGCAAAACAAACAGATTATAGGTCATCGTTATTGATATATACAGATTCCTCTATTGATTCCCATCGTTTTGGTATATGACAATACCTATTAGAGTAACTTAGAGCTTCACAGTAATGCATTAAATAGATGCACCCCAGGTCTAAAACTGAACAGGGAAAAATAATTCTATCCAGAGCCTGAAAAAATCATGGACGGAATCAGTTAAAGCTCTCAAAGTCCTGATTGCCGAATCCGGCACTATTCTGGGAAAATCAGGGAAGTTTGCAAGCCTGTGATACACATCAAGTTAAAAAAATACTTGACACTGACAATAATAACTCAAATCTGGCTTCCGAAATTTCAGACAAATGAAAAAAGGCGCCCCCTTTTTCTGCATCTTTCCCCATAACCCTAGCCCAAACCCTCTTACCTATTTCATAATGGTCGCTCATAGTGAAATTCCTCCAAAGAGTTCACAAACACACCAGAGACAAACAAAAGGGAAGGATTTCAGTAACGAGCGACCACTATGAAACAGAGGTTTGGGGGTAGGGGTAATTTTAAGGGTAAGGGTAGGGTAGGGTTAGGGTTAGGTCTCTTCTATATTATGTTTGTTGGGGTGCTTGCTCGTCACGGAAGTCCTGTGGGTAGTTGGCGAGTGTTCTGGTGTGGTTTGCTTCTTCTTTTCTATCAAACATCTACCGTCTTTATCTCCCCTCCTTCATTTTTGTGTTTGTTACTCTCTAGTAACACCTCTAATCTTCCGCACTTTTATTTGACCTTTCTTATGTGTTGCAAGTGCTGTAAAACACTTACTAAAACAAAACAAAAGTCCTTCTGAATAGAGGGTTAGGGTTTGGGGTAGGGATAGGGTCAGGCTTAGGTTTCTATAATAGTGTTGTTTTCGCTGGGGAGGTCGCTCGCTATGTACAGAAGTCTCTCCAACAACCCCACACCATGTCTCCACAACTGTCACTCACCTCTGCGTGCGCGGCGTTCTCGTGCAGCACTCGGTACAGCTCGTCCTGACTCTGCTGCGAGATGAGCACACTCTCGGCAGACGTGATACAGCCGCTGCAGGCCAGGCAGTCGTTCAGAGTAATCTTCGCCTTTTTCAGTTTCACCTCTTCACCGCTCTACCGTGGACAAAATAATTTAATTAAAAGGTCGAACTTTTTGGGGGGTTTGGATGGAGCTTTCAGAACAACACAAGTCAAAATGTTATTAGAGTTGAAGACATTTCAGAAATTTAAACTTTGGTCTCTGAATTTTAATTATTTTTTAAAGAAGAAAAAAAAACTATCATAGGCAATACCCTACAGTTCAAAGTTTCAGCAGCTAGCTGAATATCTTCAACACAGTGATGAAAACCTTAATCATAAACCTATCTAGCGTGAATCAGATGGCGACCCTTTTAGCAGACATGGTGGATAAGTAGCTTTTATTTTTACTCCACCAAGACAAAGCCACAAGCACAAGCACATGATGATACACACACACACGATTCATAAAATTCCTCTGCCATAGAGAGGTATATATGTGTGAGGCAGCGTGGTGGAATCAGGCTCTCAGCAATTTTTGGGCATACAGAGTTATTGGTATCATCTTAAAGCTTGTTCACTTGTCTTTATTTGGATGAAAACAATATCCCTTTATCTTGAATACAAGTCGAAATATTTGCAAATGAAGGAGGTGGGGGTCACCTGTTTTCAGAGGTAAAATTAGTGAGAAAATGGCTGCCAAAGATTAGTTTTTCCTTAGCTTAAGAGTACGTGGAAACTGAAAATTTACATTTTTTGTTCATTAAATCATCGTTTTGCAGAAACCTCCACACAGAAATCAGTTTTTAATTGGGCATGAAAGGTGTTGAGCCAAAAAACAAAAAATTGATAAAAATTCACAAACCTGCGGAAAAATGCAAGTTTCTTTACTTTGATTATTTGGACGAGAGCCTGATTCCACCACGCTGCCTCACATATTTTTTTCTGAATACATATCATAAATCTTTTAATATAATGATGATATACTATATTGACTATATTTCTATACATCCTGATTCTATTGAAAAGTCAAAATTTCACCGAAACAAAAATCCTGGATACACATGAAAAGTTAAAAATCTAGATCTAGTGGTATTAATTTTTAAAGAGAGTTTACCTGAGATATTTCAGTGTAAGAGCCATCGTCCTCCACACGAATTTTCCCAACCTTTCCTGGCGTTCTATCAATCTGTACTGGCTTTATGCATTCCTGAAAAAGACAAAGTAGAATAGGACTGAAATCAAGTGAAAAGTGAAAAAGACAAAGTAGAATAGGACTGAAATCAAGTGAAAAGTGAAATCACTTTAAACTAGATCTAGATTTCATAATTTTCCGAAACATTTCCAGTCTTGTTCACCATTATATTATATTATATTATACTATATTATATTATATTATATTATATTATATTATATTATATTATATTATATTATATTACGAGGGCTGTCCCACGGAAAACCGGAAAAGGTCCGTAAAAGCAAAAATCTTTGTCCTATTATAATAAAACTGTAACACATCATACCTCAACATGTGCTTTATTTCTCAATGTAATCACCATACCGCTGGACACATTTTTCCCATCGCTGGATCTGGGAGAAGATACCCTCCCTGAAGAATTTTTCGTCAAGGGATTTCAATCAATCGTTCACGACTTCCACGAGGTCTTCGTCGTCGGTGAATCGCTGTCCAGAAATATGGCGTTTCATTGGTTCAAAAAGGTGATAATCTGACAGGGCCAAGTCAGGACTGTGAGGGGGGTGTAGTAGAACTTCCTAGCCGAACCTTTGGAACCAGTCTTTCGTGACGTTTGCGGTGTGTAGCGTTGTGCTGCCATGCTGCAAAATGACCCCGCTGGTCTTTTTCGGCCCCAACCCATCAAGCAGAGACCTTTCAATAGTGCAGCTCATCAAACTCTATCCTATAGACAGTTGACTTTGAAATGTTTAGCGACTCGCAAATTTCGCGAATTTTTAGGCGCCTGTCTGTTTGATAAAGTTCGTTAACGCGACTCTTGTTGTCCTCAGTCTGGGCAGAAAAACAAGATCCTGGGTAAATTTTGTCATCGATATCAGAGTGCCCGGCTTTGAACTTACTACATCACTCATATACCTGTGACTTTGCCATTACTTTCTCCCCATAAACTGACTTTATTTCAGTGTGTATTTCTAGAGGTTTGAGACCTTTTGCGGTCAGAAACCGAATAACAGACTTCACTTCTACCCTTGACCAATTTTCCAAGGGGGTAGCCATCTTTTGAGAACTGCTGTGCTCGTTTGGTTTGTGCGATTCTCATGGTGCTCAATCGGGAAATTTCTAAATGATTGTTTTACAAGTGTGCGTTTACAGAATGTGAAAATATTGAATAGTTTTCAAATTACAGCCGAATTCCGTTTTTCCGTGGGACAGCCCTCGTATATTATAAAAGAACAAACTTAAAAATTCAAAACACTCACACAGTTATCGTTTTCATAAAATTCTACTTTGAAATTGACTAAGGAAAAAAACATGGGGTTTATTCATGGATTCATTGCAAATCACCTAAAATTCAAGATCTTAGAGTTGAAAGTTTTAAAGTCATTCATTTTAATTTTAGCCCTATGGATCTTCTTTAACTTCCGCTTTCCTTTTATTTTTAAATGCAAATTTATGCTTCACTGAGAACAAAGATCTGAGAAAACTCATAGTTCAGAAATTCATTTTGTAAAAATGTAGGCTAAAACAATTTTGGGTTATATTTGTTGTTTCGTTCGTTAAAGTCCAAAGCTGAATGCCAGAGACCCTGAATTGCCAGGTAATCGTTGAGTAGTAAATCAAAATTCAAGCAAAGAATGGCCTTTTTTCGGCAGTTCCCACCCCCAATTATTATTATTATTCGCCGGTTTGGGCCCCATTTTCTTATAAATATTTGATCATAAATTTGATGTTCTGCAGATATAGGTTGCATCCCTGTTCTTTGTGTTGCCAATTTGGTCATCAAGACTTCCGGATTTCTTCTCTGGATGTAAACAAATGGGAGGTGGACTTAGAACTACAAGATCAAATGCGACTACACGCAGGGCGTAAACCGGGGCTACGATTGGCTGAACTTGAGGGGGTACCTGTACTCAGGGAATTCCCGGTTTCGGTTTCACGCTTTTGACAGTCTTCTCACAGCGGGTTGAGTGCTCATGGAAGAAGAAGAAGAAGAAGAAGAAGAAGAAGAAGAAGAAGAAGAAGAAGAAGAGGAAGAAAAAGAAGAAGGAGAATTGAGGAGGAGGAAGCTAGATGGAGGAGGAGAAATGAAGAAGAAGAAGAATGAGGAGGAGGAGATGAAGAAGAAGAAAAATGAGGAGGAGGAGAAGGAGACCATGAAGAAGAAGGAGGAGGAGGAGATCATGAAGAAGGAGGAGGAGGAAGAGGAAAACAAGAAGAGGAGAATGAAGAAATGGAAGGAGAAGAAGAAGAAAGAATCTAGATCTAGACTCACTCTAGATCTAGACTAGATCTAGATTAGTAGTAATACATTATATTTATAAAAAATATGGGACTTTTTCGTTTGTTACCCTACCTTGAGAGAGAAAGAGAGAGAGAGAGAGAGAGAGAGAGAGAGGAAGAGAGAGAGAGAGAGAGAGAGAGAGAGATGGGGGGGGTGAGAGTGACAGGGGGGGTAAGAGTGACAGGGAGGGTGTCGTCGAGAGCGCCAAGAGTAGCCTACCGTATGCCTTGTTGTTTTCATGGGTCACAGGTTACATGTTCAGCCAATCGTAGCCCAGTTTACACCCTGCGTGTAGTCGAATGTTACGAGATCGGCGCTTTTTCTGTAGTTCCCACCCCGCAATTTTGTTATTCGCGGGTTTAGGCCCCAAGACCCCTGATTTTACCATATTTGATGTTTTGCAGTTGTTAGTTTGATATCTTAGCTCGCCGCGCATGAAACATAGATCTAGAAATCTAGATTTATATATATATATATATGAGCATTTGCCAAAAGGTGGGATACCAGGGTGTGACAAATGAGGTCCAAAATCAACTTTATGTAATAATTCTTTAATCACCCATATTATATAGCCTAATGATTGCTCTTTCAGGCTCAGTAACTGCCAAAGCTGTATATGCAATGGTTTTGGTGTAATTCTGACTTGAATGACGGAAATAGCAAAAAGTTCGTTCATAACAATGACGACACAAATTTATGAATACTCAAAGTTCATTTCTTCAGCTAGGCTGATGTTATATTTTGAGACATAGCAAATAACTTCCAAAAATACAAAAAATTGACAATTTATAAAAATCTTTATTAATTTTTGATAAAATTACTTTTTTGTGTCATAATAGTTATGAACGAACAATAAGTGACCAAAATACTATCGATTATATCAAGTTTCATTGACTAGAATTGTCTAAAATAACACTCTGGTCTAATTATAGTCAAGTGATAAATGGAAGACCATTGAACAGCTATTTTTAAACGCAAACTGGTCTTAGGGCATATTATGCATAAATTTTAAGTTCGTTCATAACTATTATGACAAATTTTACTTTTGGCCCCTGAAATTTACTTATATTGT